TCTCTCTCTCTCTCTCTCTCTCTCTCTCTCTCTCTCTCTCACTCTCTCACTCTCTCACTATTTCCCTCCCTCCTTGACAGTCTCGGTCCTGCGGCACCGAGTCATAACCACAAGGAGTACAATGGGTGGAAACCACTGGCGGCTTTTCACTGCCACTTCTTCAGCCCGCCAATTAATTTCCGTGGCGCTGATCTCGTTCTTCAAGAAGGCCACTCAAGAGCTGCCGATGGATGAGCATAAATCTTCAAATCTTTCTTCTTCTTCTTCTTCTTCTTCTTCTTTTTCTTCTTTCTCCCTTTTAGCCTCGTGCTATTAATGCGTTTTACTTGTGAGGTCCACCTGAGTTGTAAGATCCTCGAGCGTTTACGATGATCTGATCATTCATCTTTTTATTGCTTTTATCCTTTCTTGAAATCCGTTTTACGCGTCATCTAATTGTTATCTAATATTTTTTACAATTGCTAGAATTAAAGTTACATCCTTTTTTTTTGAAAAGGAAAAATATCGAGAGAAAAATATAAATGCCTTATGGTTAGAAATTTTTCGATGATTTTCTTCTTATATTATTAATAATAATAATAATATTATTTATCGCTTAATAATGTTTGAATAATAATAATGATATTGCAGCGGCTGCATTATAAATAAGCGCGCTAATGGAATACGATTTTATCGGAGAACTATCCGTGGGAACTTGGACAGATCTTCTTGGAGGAGCATCTGCGGATAAAATATTCGTGGTGCACCAGTGGAAATAAGGAATCACCGCATGGGTGATCTATTTTAGAAGACGCGAACCGCTCTCCATGGGTGTCTAGCCAGCGGAAAAATTGAAAGGCCGCGCTAATTCGCGCGACAATGCCTCCCGACAGCACGCCGGAACGGAAGTTTATCGCGAACCTCGCGAAAAACGACCTTTGGCCGGACGCCAATCGTGGCACGATCTTCCGGGGCTCATGGCCAATGACGAGGACCACTCTTGTCGCGCCGACTTGCATAATTTATTATCGACCAACGTTTCGACGACAAATGGTCGACGTTTCATCCTATTGCGAAAAATCTCGTGGTCAATGGTTGGTCAATCAAACCTTGCTCATTTCTCGTTGTTTTCATCGTTAAATTCGTTCCAAGTGTTAATAACACTTTACATCAAAATCAATTTATATTAATTAACTTATTAACAATTTATATTATTAACTTCACATCAAAATCAATTTATATTAATTTTTTTCTAACGATCATTAATATCAAAGATATATATTTTTTTTATATAAATACTTTTTATACAGAAGACAAGATTTGCTTTAAAAAAGAGCCAATTTTACTAAAATTTATATGGTTAATCAATAGTGAATTGCACAACGTTGCAAATTAATTAACTTATTATTATTAATAATTTATATTATTAACTTCACATCAAAATCAATTTATATTAATTTTTTTCTAATCATTAATATCAAAGATACATATTTTTTTTTTATATAAATACTTTTTATATAAAAGATAAGATATGCTTTAAAAAAGAGCCAATTTTACTAAAATTTATATGATTAATCAATAGTCAATTGCACAACGTTGCAAATTAATTAACTTATTATTATTAACAATTTATATTATTAACTTCACATCAAAATCAATTTATATTAATTTTTTCCTAACGATTATTAATATCAAAGATACATATTTTTTTTTTATATAAATACTTTTTATATAAAAGACAAGATATGCTTTAAAAAAGAGCCAATTTTATTAAAATTTATACGGTTAATCAATAGTCAATTGCAGAACGTTGCAAATTAATTAATTTATTATTATTAACAATTTATATTATTAACTTCACATCAAAATCAATTTATCATTAATATAATATAATTAATATAATATAATCATTAATATTAAAGATACATATTTTTTTTTTACATAAATACTTTTTTTTGCTTTATAAAAGAGTTAATTTTACTAAAATTTATATAGTTAATCAATAGTCAATTGCACAACGTTGCATTGTACAAGTGAACGTATCTATACATGGATTAATGATCGAAGAGTTTGAATAGCAATATTATATAATCATCGATATTAATATATATAGTATATACATATCATATAAATAATTTACTATTAATACTAATGAATCAATTCTCTACAGATTAGACGAATTCCAAGTTACTCGAAGAAGCAAACCCATTGAACGGCCATTGAAAGTTTGGAACGTGAAAACGAAACATATCTCCATGATTCCTCCGTAACCTCGACTTGGCGATCTGACGTAAAGGTGATGAATGCACCGGCATTTAGCAAAGTCGCTCGCCGGCTTGCGAGAGTCGCCTAGACGATAGAAGGATCAGGGTGTAAAAAAGCAGCGACTACGTTGGCGGAAGGACAAAGGAAAAGAAGAAAGAGAAAGAGAAACGTGGAGGGGTGGAAGAGGAGACGCGGGATCCAAAGACACGGGGCTGGAAAGCAGAGGGGGGGGGAGGGGAGGGAAGGGGAGAGAGAAAGAGAAATGAGGGAAAAGAGGGAAGAGGTTGTGCGCGCGGAATTCAGAAGCGGAAAGAGGGATGGAAAAAAAAAAGGAAAGGGGGATAGAAGAAGGAGGAAGAGAGAGAGAGAGAGAGAGAGAGAGAGGAGGGGGGGGGATAGGGAGAGGGACGAGAGGATAGGGTGGCGGAGTGAAAGAGTAAGAGAAAGAGAGCAGGGATTAGATCTCAGGGTGAGTGGGTAGGATTGGATTTGGCAGAGGCGGCTCCGTTGGTGGTAGAAGGTTGCCGGAGAAGGAGGAAAGGGGAAGTGGAGACTTTGGTTGGTGTCCGAGTGGTGGTGGGGTTGTGGATGGGGAAACGCACCGAGCCAAGGGAGAGTGTCAGAGAAGGAGAGACGTAAGTGACAGAATAGGTGGTGGTGTAGGTGAACTGGACAACCACCAGAACTCTCGCCAGTATTTAAGGGAGAGTCGCGAGCGTAGCGCGCCAGTTACTACGGCCGATTGCCTCCACGAGGTGTCCCCGAGATAACGGAGTCAACGTGCACCGCGCTCGATTCTGGTGCGGAAAGAAAAAGGGCGCGAAAAGTCTTGGCCACGTGACTCGATTTTGCGAAACGCTCCGCTTTTTTTCATTTTCACTGCATACCGTTGTATCGTTCCCTCCCCCCCCCCCTTCCCTCCCATTCGTAACATTCGTTTTTAAAGCATGAAAATTCAGTGACGTATGATGATGTAGCTACGGAAAGTTAAGTACGACGAAGTTAAGAGAGTTGGAAAGATTAGAATAATACAATTAATAATTGTCGAGAGGGGAAGTGATGATAGAAGAAGGTGATTGAAGTCGGGTGAGAGTCGTCGAACATGAAGGAATGTGCATCCTTTGAGAAAATTTGTCGCAGTTCACGAAAGTGTACGATTTATGGAAGAATTTAAATCGTCGCACCGAGGAGTCTTTGGTACTTTCGCTCGCGGGCCGTGCAGATGAGCGTGATATCAAGGTAGAAAATTCGTTGCAAAACAACGTTTACATTCTGAAAGAATAATTCGGTGTAAAGAAAAATGAGCGTAGCATTTTATTTTTTCATATTAATAGAAGAGAAATTAAAAGGAGAATTATGGAACGTTGAGATATTAAAATATTTTCACGGTTATATATTCACAAGTTATTTTTATCCTCTCCTTGTGCTCGAGAAAAAGTATCGCTTTTTTCGCTTTCTTTTTATTGGAAAAATTTGCAGAGGTTTGCAAATTTCTAGAAAAAAAAAGAAAAAAAAAAAAAAGAAAAATAAACCGTTTCGAAACGGACGTTTATGGCTATGTATGCAAATATAACGTGGCGTTAATTACGTAAGAGCCGAGATATAAAGGCGCGGCTTCTTTTTATCCGATGAAAAGAAGATGATTAAGCCTCCGATGGCAAAGTGCCAAACAGTTCTCCGCGAACGATGAAAAGAAAACGATAGGATCATGGGTGGTATCGGGCCGGCGGCTTGTCAAAGCCATGGCGCTTTAATTTCTTTAAATCGGAGCAGAACGCCAGAAATTGATATCCCCCGTTACACTGTTCATCGATCCAACCAATTCCCTTTACAACATTCCCCGTCTCTTATTGAATTCACCAATAGCTAAAGATAAAAATATATAATGAAACGAAACAGGAGAGGAGAAATACATACTTATTATCAATCTCTTAATTCTCAAAAAAAAAAAAAAAATCTTCAAAGAAAATCTTTTATTCGCACAAAGGAATTTCGCTTTTAAAGCAAAAATTTGAAGGAGCTCGAACAAATAAATTCACGACTAAAGTAATTTCGTTTTTCGCAAATCAATTAAGTGAAGAAAATATTTAAAGAATTTATTCAAATTTATCGGGAATATAATATCTCTTTGTAATAAATTAATTGTTTAATAACAACACTTATAATAAATTATATTAACCGGATTATACTCGAAAAAAGAAGAAGAAAAAAGGGGATCTGGACGGCGATGTTAAGCCGAAAGAAGAGAATGTAACATGAAACTTCTCCGGATTCCTCGAGTCAGAAAATAAAAGAATAGAAATAAAATTCAATTTGCTAGCGGGCAGATCGCTTAACGAGGTAATAAATATCGCGTCTGTGTCCAGGGAAAGAAGGCGAATCGTTGGGATCCGGTACCCGATGCTGGCGGCGTTGGGGCTGCTCCTGGTGTTGACGGACGCCGGGGCTGTTCACCAACAATCGAACCTTCTCCTATCCTACGCGAACACGTCGTTTGGATTCCCCGGGACCACGTCTAATCGCGGTATTTCAGTAACCAGGGTTCTGCAAGACGGGGAACTCGAACGTGTGATCCGGTTGCCTGGAATTTGCGCCAAGGAGACCATCGTCAATTGGGGGTAAACAAATCTTTTTTCCTCATCGCGAGAAAGATCATCGCTTCACCGTTTAATATTAGCCTAGGCTTTTGTAACTGATATTTTTGGAAAGTTTTTTTTTATATCTATCTCCTCCTTGCAACAGTTCTCGAGGATATATTTAAAATTCTTCTACAAGATTCTTCTTTCTTTATTATTTTTTTTTTTTCTTTTTTTTTTTTCTCTCTCTCTATCAAACGTAATAATATCGACGATGAATATTTATTATTATAGCATTCGATAACCTATCGAATTTAATATAGATATTACGTCGAGGATTCGTGAACTAGCTCTTTGTTTACTCAAAACTTACTTTAACTCATCGTTATCGTTGTATGCAAGTGATCGCAACTAAGATCGCGTAAAACTTTTAAAAAAATTCTTTTTAAATTTTATTCAATTATTTTTTCGATCCACGTTGGAATAACATCCTGCAAGTCCTCCTTGTACTCTGAAATAACATTTCCTTCGGTTAGGAGAGAAAATCTCCTCGAGAGAGACAGAGAGAGAGAGGATGGGGAGAGGGAGAGGAAAAGAGTGCATCCCTTGACTCGCAACCCTCTCCGGTTGGAAACGTAGGAATCGGTATTAGGCGAAGAGGAAAACAATACCTCCTTTCATTATTGCCAATACGCGTGGGAGCCACGAGACTGGCCACGTATGCGTATTTAACTTCGGTTGACTCTCTCAATACCACGTCGTTTTTGCATCGGTTAGCCGATACCGGCCATTCGTTTGCAGTTTCCTGGACGCGTCCTTGTCAGCCGGAAAGCTCATAGAATTACAGCACCGCCGTGCTAAATCGAGTTGTTCGCTGTCTTTTTTTTTTTTAAAAGAGCGACTCGTATGTATCCACATGCTCGTGTGCCACTCTCTCCACTCCGTTTCTCAGTTTCTCTTCTCTTCCTTTTGGACGAGATTCTTTCGGCTCGAAAAACTCGTGGCGAGAGAATTTGATCTGAAACGTTTAATTATTATCATGCTTCGAAAAAATGAACAAGTATTATTAAAAAAGAAACAACCGATTGAATTGTCGAATCGAGATGAATTATATTTGGTAAATTTTCGGATCGAAAAACAATTTATCGCATTCACCCGTGGACGGTGACCGCTAAGCCAACCGAGGCCTTAAGCCGAAAAGCGGCAAGTTAAGTAAGCAAGGATTAGGCGGAAGCAGGAGACCGAACATCGAGAACACGGCCCCCGGTTGCTGGCCTCGGACCAGCGGTTGTAACTCATCTGCGGATGCTCTCACGAGGATATCAGGGAATTCCACGACCGCGAAACGTCACCTTGCACTTAAATCGGTGAAAGCTCTTTTGCTGTAACGAGAAAAGCACGCGGCTTGCCATGTTCTCATGATTCAAACCCCGTCACCCCGTTTCTGAAACCATCCATTTTTCAACGAGAGCGAGAACGAAATCTTCTTCTTCTTCTTCTTCTCCTTCTTTTTTTTCTTCTTCGACGGATATATATATTACGATATATATTACACGGAGAAAAAGTTCAAAGTCTATTCCATCCAGCGATTGCTTTTTGTCTGCATCGAACAGAATTAATTGTTCGTTTCGGGGACGAGCTATAGTAACGTAACGAAATAATAAAATATAATATATTATTTTTATATGATAATCGCGTAAATTAAACACGATATTTCGAATGAACACGTCGAGGGTAATTAAACATTGTTATCGAGGGACAGCCCCCAGTTTTAACGAATTTAACGACTGTCGAAGATATTTATCGATGCAACGAAAAGAAGGCGGGGAGGAGCATCAATCATAGGTGAACGTTAATCACGAGGAAATAATCGTGCGACGCGTGCGTGCAGTCAATCTAGCGTGAATTAAACGCGCGTACGATAATAGCCATTTCGAATCAACGATACATCCGTTCTTTTGTAGTTCATCGTCGATCCTAAAAAAAAAAAAAAAAAAAAAAAAAAAAAAAAAAATAAAACTAATTGAGCAAATAAGGTATGAAAAGAATAAATCACTCGAGAATTATTATTGTTTTTAAAGAAAAATAATATTTCTCCGATAGATACACGGACGTTGCATTGAGACAAGTCTGGATACAGAAGACGGGGAGAAAATTGCAATTGATATACGAGGGTGGCACATTGACCGACTGCATGGACGATATACTCACCGATAGCGAAGAGAGATCTTGTACGTCAAGCACACATTTGGACGACGATTATGACGACGAGATATCCGTGGAATTGTTCGAGGTGGACGGGCAGGAGGATGCATTGAGGATCCCCCAAGATCTATCCTGGCTCTCCTCCGTGTCCAACTTACGTCATCGATGTACCCACGTAAGGAACAGAGCGCGAAATCAACTGATTTCTCAACACCGGCGAAGGTATAAAATCTGTGATGAATAAAAGAAAACGCAAGATATAAAAATAAAAAGAAATCTTGTTATATTGTTTCGATTATTATTATTAAGTTATTATTAAAAGAAATAATGAAAGTTTTTTATTTTAAATAAGAATGGAAAATGATTATTTTCTAACTTAATTATTTTTATAATTATTTTTTTATTTTAAAATTTTTCTATAACACATATATATTATAAAATCATTTTTTAAATTTATGAATAATAAGAAGATCGCTTTTATTTACGAAAATAAATTTTCAAAATAAAATATTCGTTACAATTTTTATTTTTATATTAATGCAGGAAATATTCAAAGCTTTTAAATGGAACGAATAGCGGCCACCGTCAGAGACGAGGTAAAAGCCGTTCTCGAAGAGACTTGTTGATGATCCCAGGAACACAATGGTGCGGTCGTGGTCATAGGGCCACGAAATATACGAACTTAGGCGGTTTTGGCACAGCAGATGCTTGCTGTCGAAGACACGACACAGCGTGTCCCTTTTTCATCCCGGCTTTCGAGACACGCTACGGTTTCTTCAACTGGGGTATCTCAAGCATGATGCATTGTGCCTGTGATGAACGGTATTGAACATCGATTACATTTAAGCATTATCCGGCAAAAAATCTAAATAGGAATCAAACGTATCATTTTTTTTTATCATCTTTGTAGATTTCGAACGTGTTTGAAGATGGCGGGTACAGCATCGGCAAATTTTATCGGCAAGATTTTCTTTGATGTTTTAAGAACGAAATGTTTCATATTGAAACCGCAAAAGATTTGTACGAAATGGTCCTGGATGGGCAAATGCCAGCATTATGAATATCGAAAGCAGGCTCATGTTCGCGATAATGTTCCTTATCATTAAAATGGAAAAGTAGCGGATATGTTTGGGGATATTCTTTTTCTAGAAATGTCAATACCAATTCTCAGGGATGTAATAGTTTATCGAAAGTGTTCGATCATGACTTAAAGGCATGCAGGACAATAGATCAGAGATAAAAACAATCATCCTCTTTAATTTTTTAACTACATGAATGACAATACATAGTGGTCACGATAGAAAATTTAATCATTAGAACAGATTTGAAATTGATTTGAATTTAATATATTTCAAATTTCTCGCAACTTTTCATCATGTTGAGTTAATTTTGATTTGCAATAAAAAAATAAATTCGAATTTATTTTTGAAATATTCAAAATATTCAAAATAATATTATAAATCTGACATGTAATAAAAATCAATAATAGAAATTTTCAATTTTTGATTTTTCAAGATTAAATTCTCTTTAAATGGCAAATAATAAAAAGAAACGATAAATGAAATCGAGAAATGAAATCGTTTGAAATAGACAGGGTATCATTTCTATTATCTATAAGTATATATTAACTATGTAGTCTTTATTGTTCTCAAAGATGCCAAATAAATTATTCTGTAGATAAATCATAATAAAAATGTACATATATTACGAATAGCATAATTTTTAAAGCATGAATCTAGAAAAATTGAATGCATTAAAAAATAGTTTAATCGAATTGTTATTAAAAATGATAGTTAAAAAAATTTGGAAGATCTATTTCTTTAAAATCGTTGAATTATATATATAGTTAGAAATCTGAATAATAAATTATTAATTTATTTTTATTTTAATTCCTCATCTGCATATGATAACATTAATTTTATATTACTTATATTTGTGCATGTATTTAATATATTGTATTTATGTATGAACGAAGCATGCTCTTGAATAATAATAATAATGTATAAAAATGTTGAAAAAAATTCGAAATTATAACTATCCAATAGTATTTAAATATTCAAATATACTATTTAAATAAAATATATCAAAATAAATCATATTAAGTAAATATAAATTAAATACACGATATGTTTTCATATTGTATAAATGAAAATAATTCATATATATCATAAAGTGTCAAAATATTTAATAATAAGTATATAATTGTAAATATGTATAATAGGAAAATAATATTATATCATCTTTAATAAAGAATACATTGTAAGAATAATTAGAATAAAATCTTATGAAGAATTATAAAAATTGAATATATTGTTATTTCTATTTTTTTCTATACTTTGAAATTTTAATTCAATTATTTCATTTGAATTTAGATACAACTTTTAATTTGGCGCGTTACATATATATGTGTTTCCGTTAGCTAACTTGCCAAAAATGCGCAGTTTACATCTATAAAAAAATGAATACATATGTATTTAAAATTTAGTCTTGTGAATAATTAAAATTTTTTCGTAAAATTTTACTTTTAATACTTTTAATTTTATTATTTAATATAAAGTATTGTACATTAATAGAAAAAATTAAAGTTAATTCATTAAGAAATATAAGACAATTGAAAATGAAAATGTATGAAAATAAAATAAGAATAAAACATGGTGAAATTGTTTGTTCATCATCAGAATTAAATTTAGGTGTTACTTTGAAAAGCGGTCAAAGTTTTAGGTGAATTTTTTATAATATTATGAATGATATCCTTGAAGATATATACATAACCAATATTTCTTTAATATTTGTAGTTTTTGTAGTTTTAATATTTTAATATTTGTTGTTTTATTTGCAAATTTTTAAATAAAAATATTTCTACAAATAAAATATTTTATGATTTAAATATATTATATATTTTTTTGTTATTTATATATATCGCATTATATTTTATAGATGGTTTTGTCATAATAATGGATATCGAGGAGTGTTTGATGGATGTGTTTGGACTCTTACACAAAATGATACACATTTGTCCTACATTGTGCAAGGTCCATTAATAGATTCTAAAAACTATGATGAGATTTTATCTGAATATTTCAGATTAAATGAATGTTTAACAGATCTGTGCAAAAGATGGATTGCAATAGATCAACATTTTAAAAAATCCTTAAATAAAATAAATGGTGTTAGAATATTAAATCAAAATGTTGTTGAAAATGTTTTTTCTTTTATATGTAGTTCAAATAATAACATTCAAAGGTATATATATAAAGATATTTTAATTTATTAATTTTATTTATTATATTTTTATTTTAGAATATCAAAAATGGTAGAAAAATTATGTACATTGTTTGGTGAAAAAATTTGTTCAATTGAGGGCAAAAATTATTATAATTTTCCATCCATTGAAGCATTAGCGAATAAAAATGTTGAAGATATATTAAAAATAGAAAAATTTGGATATCGTGCAAGGTATATAGCAAATGCAGCAAAATGTTTAATTGAACTTGGTGGAAAAGAATGGTTATTAAATTTACACAAAAAAAATAATGTATCATATATTCAAGCTAGAAAACAATTAATTACTCTTCCTGGAATTGGTCCAAAAGTTGCAGATTGTATATGTTTGATGTCATTAGGCCATTTAGAGTCTATTCCTGTAGATACTCATATTTTTCAAATAGCTAAAACAAATTATTTACCTCATTTAAAACAATATAAAACTGTTACTCCAAAAATTCATGAGGAAATTAGTAATTATTTACGTGAATTATGGGGTCCTTTAGCTGGTTGGGCTCAAGCTCTTGTTTTTTGTGCAAAAATTAATGATATTGTTACTACTACCACATCAAATTATAAATGTAAAAATATAAATAATAAATCATTTCATCATTATAATTTAAAAAATCTTAAAAAATAATATATATTTATTATATAACAACAGATTTTTATTTAAATTAATATTTTTTACTTAATAATCTTTTTTAATTTTTTATATTATATTATATATTTAGAAAAATGTACAAAATCATGTAAAAACTTTAATTCTAATTTTCCTTTCATTCAAATATTTACAATATTATTGTCTAATAATTATAAGATTTTATAAACTATTTAAGTCATGTCTGAGAGAATAATCATTATGTGTATATTTTTTCTTCTTTTTTCGACTCATACCCACTAATGCAAAATCAAAGTCATCTAGAATCATATAATCTGTTTCATATAATTCTAATTCATCTTCCTCATTCTCATCATCACTATCTGGAAAAAAATTAATATATATATATACTTATATATAGTATGAATTATTTATAAATAATATATTTTTTTATAAATAAAACCAATAACTTACTTGAATGAGTTTTTAATATATCGGCAAAAATACTTTGAGTAAGATATCGTAATCCAGGAAACATAGTTGATAAATATGCTCTATGTGATGATTTTAATACAGACAAGCAAGTTACTTGTAAAGACACTGGTACAGAACAACTATAAGTCAATCTCATCTTACTTTGCGCAGCTGTGGAACATACCATAGGATACAATATAAAATCTCTTAATCCAGTAAAAGCAATACCTAAATAAAGAAATTCATTGTAGGAAAAAAAATGTAAAGTGCTAATAATTATAACGTTAAATTTACCTAATGATTTTCTATTAAGGAAAAATTCTAAAGTGCCTCTCCAAGTATCCAAGTATATACCCACTAAACTACCTTGCCCAAAACAAGGACCATATTTACGTTTTTCACCACCATGTTGTATATATCCTTGATAAGAAAAACCAAAAGATTCTCTGTCAAGTCCAAGAAATGAACAAAAAACATGTTTTGTATTATTTAAATCCACTTTACTTGTTCCAACTCCAACCATCTAAAATATTTCATTATTAATTTCATTATTAATAAAAAATGAAAATATATATTCATTTTACATTAGTAATAAACATGCATTATTAATTCCCATTGAAAATACTTACAATATCTGTTCCATAAACAGGTGTGAGCATTTTAATTTCCCAATAATGATATCTTCCTTTTTCTAATATTTTGTTACCTCTCACAGCTGCTGTACCATAACTATATCCATTATGAAATTTAACTTCTAAATCATTTTTTGATAAAATTATAGTATATGTAGCATTTTCCTTGTCCCATGCCCATTCATGTACTGGATATATAAATAATAAATTATAATTTAAAGAATAATATTTATATGAAGTTTAATAAAGCAAAAAATTAGTTTTAAATTACTTGTTTTAGAATAAAAAAGAAAAAAAATTTTAATATTATTTTATATAAATATTTTTTTATATTACCATTATTTTCTCCACAACTACAATCTTGCGAATTACAATTACAAAACTTTGCATACTGAGCCAATGATATAGGATCGTATTCGAAATTCATAATTCTAATCTATTCTAAAATTCTGAAATTAAATATTTTTATTAATCAATTATCAATTATTCTTTCACAAATTAAATTATGATGATATAATATATAATGTTATACTTTGATTTACTTACGATTGACCCTGATCTTTAACTGTTGTAAAAGTTACATATTATTTGTATACATTTATACAAATAATATATATATATGAATATTGCAAACACATGTTTCTATATATATATATATATATATATATATATATGTATAATGTATCAAAATGTCATAATCATAAATTTATAAATTTTTATAAAGAATATAATTAAAATAATAATAATAATAATGTTAAATAATTATATATGAATACAATTTTCTATCATATTTTTTAAAATTTTATCTAGTTACTTTTTCAAAACTTAACATAATTTAAAAAATAATTTAATAACAAATTATATGTATATTTTATTAAAATTAATATCTAAAAACTCAATATATAATAACATAAAAAAATATTTTATATATAATAATTAAAAAATTAAAAATTATAGTAGTTTACTAGTTCAATAGCTTACTAGATTAGATTGGTAGAAATGTTTAAATTATTCAAAGCAAATTTCCGTCTTCTATTGAGTTACGCAAGCAGCAATTGTGCATTCTTATCAAGTTTTTTGAATTTTCAATAAAATTTTATAAAAAAATGTTACGCTTTGTAGGAAAACAAATAAATAACACCTTAAGAAATTCTTTAATTCCATATAATACGGTTATAAGACAAAATATTCGTGCTTCACATGATGGACCGCAAGAAACTGAAGAAGAATTTAACAAACAGTATGTGACTTATCTGAATCGTACAAATCTTGATCATTGGGAATTTCGTCAAGCTATGAATAAATTAGCGGGTTAGTAATTATGTAATCATATTTCTTTTTGTGATTACATTTATTATTCTTTAATAATTTGAGTTATCTTTTAAATAATTTAAATCGAACAGTGACGTTCTATTTTCAAAAAATTTTTCGAATACTTTTCGTTTTCTTATTTATTTAAATAGTTAATTGAAATAGTTAATATTGTAACAATTCATATTAATAATGAAAATTATTTTTCCAGCTATGGATCTTGTACCTGATCCAAGTATCATATGTGCAGCATTAAGAGCTTGCAGACGATTAAATGATTTTGCTCTTGCTATCAGGGTTTTGGAGATGGTAAAGGATAAATGTGGATCTAAGGTTAAAGAAATTTATCCTTACATATTACAAGAAATCAAACCTACTTTAGATGAATTAGGTATTAATACAATAGAAGAACTTGGTTATGATAAACCTGAATTAGCACTTCAATCAATTGATGATATACATTAATTAAGTTATTTACTTAAATTTGATAAACATAGTATCTATGCATAGAGGTGCTTCATGTTAGACCTTTTCATAAATAAACAAAAAGTCACTTTTCGAATTAGAATAAAATAATATTTGTTGTTGATAATATTTATCATGCTATATCGTATTTGAAGAATATTTATGAATTGGAAAAATATATAAAAATATATAATACGTATATATTGTTTTTAAGATTATTGAAAGTAACAAAACAAAATGATATGTATACATTATATTTTAATTTCTATTGGTTCCTTATGTTGTTTCTAAATTTTTAATATTTTTCAAATTTTTCTTTTTTCATTCTTTTTACATCAAAAGTAACCAAAGCAGAAAGGTGACACAACAATGATATATGTACAAATTACATTTTAAGACACAATGATAAAGTCATGTACACATACATCTATAATTATCTAAAATGGTATTACATTTTTTTTGAAATGACATTAAACATAATTTATGTTCTGTATGATTTGTCATAAACAAGAACAAAAAAATACAACATGGTCTTACATGGGAGTATCAATATATTACATTTTGTATGTAATGGCCATAGTTTTAAAAAACAATATAACAATTAATATCTAGTCATTGTGATTTGTTCTACTGATAATTATTAAATTTATATTCTATTTTCTTCTATAATGTTATAAAAACCTTCTTCTTTTTTGGTATCGTTCATACTTGGTGTCGAGGGCAGTTTGTTGTTTCAATGTTACGACTCTGCTCCTGACATACATATTTTGAAAGAGAACAGTGTATTATATACCTACAGGAACTTCATTTATAATAAAAACACATGTACTAAAAGATATTAATTAAACAAGTATCACAAATTTGTTATTAGAATTATCTGAAAATTATATGCATATATTATAACACACACACACACACAGATACTAAAAAATATAAAAATGTAAGCAAAATTATTAAAATAACGCAAATTAATTTTCAAAAGTCAGTCACACGTCCTTGCAAATTGGAAACCGCAACATTGAAACAAGATTGCATTAATGAAAAAAAAAAAAAATATTTTTCCTAACATTAAATATATTGTATAAAAGTGAGTTGGCATTTAAATGCATGAAAATGTTTCGATCTTTTTTTCATTAATAACAAAAATAAATACATTTTAGATTACCTGATAATAAAATAAAGAACAATATATGATTCTTTATTTCTATATTCTGTATATTATTAAAGTATATTATACAGAATAGAAATGAAAAAATTTTCATTTTGAGAATGATATAGTGTTCTTTATAATAGCACTTAAAAATAATTTCCTAATATAACATAGTATACATATATTAAAAGTAATTACATTTTGTGGGTGTGCATTGAGACTTCAAATCCGTATGTCTTATTTTTCAAAAAATTATCTCTTATAGCCTATTTGTACCCGTCAGAAATGCTTAATTTTTTTTTTTTTTTCATTTATCACTACTGTCGATTATTAATGTATATTAATATGTATCGTAATATGTCTCTATCGCCAAAAAATGACTTGTTTTTTATTTTAATTTATCATAAAAATAGGCTACATATTACAATTTTTTAATTTAATAGCCAAATTTGATTTTAACTCAAACATTAGAATCCTGATATCATAAAATGTTGATTATTTTCCATTGAATTTTAAAGATTTTTCAGATATATTAAATTTTTCTATAAACATTTTTAAAATTTTAATTAAAGGCTTATTTTTTATTTGAAAAAATTATCTATCATTTCTGAATTTAACGAATTTCTTCAATAAAAATTCTTTTTAGATTATTAATTTGATATAATTAAATTGCATAATTTTTTAATAATTATTTTTTCATAAATAATTTAAAACAAATTTTAATTTCTTTGGTATATCGATCATTCTTAAAGACCCGACACTAAGACTAGACGAAAATATTTGTATCCGTGTTTGCTTATTGGAAATATTAAATATCCAGACGGCGGATACTGTCATTATAAATATATCGATGAAACTTGCATATTCAACGGTTTTTTTTTCATCGAACGCAGTACTTTCTAAAAATTAGTACTATCTTTGAGAAATTGAATTACAAGTGATATTTCTAAGTGTCTACAATGAATCTTGAATACAAATATGATTACATTCAAGTCTCATGAATCATCAAACATTCAATCATTTTCACTCTTCAAACATATTCGCTATTCGTTATTGTTTCTCAACAAGAGGACACACTACACAATGATTCAGAAAAGACACAATCATTTTCCTTAATATTAATAACACGTATCATTTCTAATACTCTCACTCTTTCTCTCATGAACACCACTAATGTGCACCTGTCGCATTTTGGTGTTAACATAAAAGCTTTATTAACTATGTAAAACGCTTTATTCTGGACTAGAGACGGTTTGTTGTTGTTGACTATCTTCGTCTTTTACAACTTCAGCTTGCATAGCCTTCGTAAGAACATTAGCATCTTTTAATGATATCACTTGAAGAACTTGATGTTCACCTGCAGCGTTTATCATTGTCATAGGATGCCCTTGAATAGTGACAGCTTCAATGCTAGTTTCTCCATTTCCGGGCTCAACTTTTGGGACTTGAACCATTGGTGTGACTACTTGCATTGTACCATCACTTTGAATATTGGCAACCATAGTTTGATACATACTAGCAGATACTGGTACTGTTATTACTCCTGAGACGGAAACAGGATAGCCTGAAACAAAGAAGCAACTGTCCTGTGTTCTGCCCCTGACCAGGCATTTCTTTGTATAGCAAACTGGAAAGTAAAAAGTAAAATTTAATTTAAAAAGCACATATCCGTATGATCGATATCGATAATAATTAAAACAATTTTTATTTCAAAAATATAATTTTGTATTAATTTTTTCGGATTTGTGCATTGATACTACCAGTTTACAATACAATTTTAGGTTTAAAAAACTATACAAATTTTCTTAAAATTTAATAACTGAAATTATGTTGTTTTTTATAGAAAGCTAATAAAAAAAATTTTTAAATTAACAGGGTGTGCTAAAGAAAAGTACATATACTTACTCTATAATTTATATACATTTAATTTATTTGTTAAAAATGAATATTTTGCTTCCATATTCAGTGTTATCTTTTTTTTTGGCACACCCTTTTAACATATAATATCATTAATGTGCACATATAATTTTCATCTATGCTTTAGAAAAAATAAGGCATTAATAAAAAGCAACAGATGTTTAAGCCATTCTATAAAATCAAATTGGATAAACATAAATTATATAAATACAAATTTTTATATTCAAAATAATTTATTGATTCAAATAAATTAAAAAATAGCAATGAGTAGCTTAAACAAAGGCTGCTAAATAACAACTATAAAATAATAAAAAACATCAACAAAAAATACTCTATGTACAGCAGTTTTATTTGTCTTTGTTTTAATTAAAGTAAATAACCAATTTTTGATAATAATGGTAAGTAGTGATTGTAAAACAGGGACAGGTTCTTTTTCTGATCTTGAAATACTTTCATTTATTTTATCGTTAAATTTAAAATCTTAAGAATCCATGAACTGAAAATTCTATTTGTTTATGATATAGCTTTTTAGAATATTAAAAAATTTAATTTTTTTATCAAAGGTATATGAATTATACATGCAATATTTCAATATACAAATGTATTCTTTTTTAAAATATATACTAAAAAAAATATGTACATGCCATATACATATGAATTTAATCTTATCGATTTCTTTCTAAAAAAAATTTGCATTTTATCATCTCAAAGAGAGAATAGTCTAAGAATAGTCTATGAACATATACAAAACGACACAATATTTGTGAGCTATGGATTTAATTTTTCACCATATGATATTTTTATAATATGAATTAATTATAAAAATTAATAATTATTGTGTGTTTTGATTTGCTCTTTCAATAATCTATTACATATATCATGGATTCTTAAAGAAAAAAATTAAAATAAAGCTGTGCATAGCTCCGAGTGAAATTGCATATGTACAGTACCAAAAAAGAATAACTAATCGATATTCTACTTTCGTTGTACAAAATAGTAGAACACGTAGGTATTTTTCTTGAATGGAGCGTAGCAGACAGCATGCAAAACAACAAAGGATCCTGGGCCAGTAAAAAATTCACTGTTCAAGTAGCTCCTGGCCGGCGACGGTGCAGAGCCTATAGAAAACTGTTTTACCGTGTCCGTCTTCTCCTGTGAGAATGATTTGACCATCTTGACCTAATGTTGCTTCTGTAACACTGTTTAGGTCGACAGCAACGCTAGTACCTTCCGCACTGCCTGCTACTTCAGCAAGTGCTTGAACTTCCCCTTGACTTGTATGAATCTTTAAGTAAAAAATTCATTTATTCTTACAATTTTTTTTTAAATTAGAGAATAAAATATATTTACGATATACGATAATATATACTTACGGTAGCAACACCTTGAACTTGTGCTGTTGTACCATCTGGTAACGTAATTATTGGGTTACTAGGATCAACTTGAATAATTGATACAGTACCATCAGGATTTGTTATTGTTTGTAAAACTGCCGTAGGATATTGGGCCGTCATCTAGAACAATAAATAAAATATAAATTATAATTAAATTATAAATTTTTTTCATATTTCAAAAAACAAAATATGATAAAATTGAAAAAATTACAAAAATTTCACATATATAACAAAATAAAATTTGTTTCAAATTATGATAATAATGATTATAAAAATAAATATAGATCAAACTCAAATAAGGGAAACCAAACACATGAACATAAATGCAAGTCACGTGTAAAAGAATTTCAAATTCTAATTTTTTTCTATATAAAATCAGAATTTAAAGAAACATCATGATCTCACAATGTACCATCAAAACTTAAATTTGATTAATTTATATTTAATAATTCAACTTTTTTGATCATGTTGTTTCGATCAATTTTTTTTTTTTTTGTACTCTATCCACTCCCACCTGAGTGGCAGTGGCAAGAGCTGTAGGAGACGCGGCAATGATTTGTGCTGGCGAAGAGTTTCCCTTAGATGAATCCGTGCTGCTGAGGCGAACAACTCCCACCGTCTGCTGTTGTTGTTGCGATTGTCCACCTTGTCCTTGACTGGATGAATGCGATGGATGCGATGAGGAATGAGGAGTTGATTGTTGTATCAGTACATTTGATTTATCATCTTCTTCACTGAATGCAGGTAGAAGATCTTCTCTTCCATGAAATTTATAACAGTTTATTACAATTTGTCTTAATGCATGTGTCCAAGAAATCTAAAAAGAATATATTAAAATAAAGATTAATAGAAAATTGTTTAAGATATAAAATAAATATTTGAAGATTTTTAAATATTTATAAACCTTTTGTTTTTCATCTTCAGATCTTGCATCCATGCGTACATTTGCCCAAGGAAGTTCTTTTGGCCACCATGGAGGTCGTGTACTATCTCTTCCCCAACCAGGTTTACCTCTGCCTGTAGAATACTTTAACATTAATGGGATGAATGCTCTAAGTTGAGCTTGTGTCATTTTTTCCACAGGTGTCGGTATGCCATCTATTATAAGAGGTGGTAATTCATATAAAGATGGATCGTCTTGTACTGGTGGTGGAGCTTGTTGTGCAAGCGCACTTTCAAGTTCTTCCATTATAACATTTCTTAAATTTTTTACTACATCTTCTAACGGTTTTGCTCCAAATACTTTATAACTACTGTTTGGCTTTCCTGGAGTAGCTACTAATACTACTGCTTGTTGTCCAACTCGCGTTGCAAACTCATCTATAGTTTGCTGTAATTATATATATATATATATGTATATATGTAAAATGATATATATATGTATATATAAATGATAAGATTAAATAAAATAAATTTTAACATATATTATAACATACACTTACTCTGAGTTTTCTTAAAAGTCTGTTTTGCTGTCTCTTTCTAATGCTAGGATTTGTTTCAAAACTATGAGGTCGTTTCCTCTTTTTTGCTGAGACAATGGCAGCAGCTGCAGCTACGCCAACAGGACCTAAATTATTTTTATAAATTATTAACTATACGTTTTCTAATTTTATAATCCCACACCAAATAAAAAATGTCAGTAAAATATTAAAATTTCAATTTCTATAATATATATTTATTTTCAAAATGTATTTATTAATGTTTAAAACTTTCTTATTATATTTATGTACATTTATTTATATTTAAATATGTTACTGACATATTATATAAATATATATCTTTAATTCATTCAAAACATAAAAGATGCAAAAGCAGTAATGATATGAAACGTGCTTGATATTCAAGAATATATTATATATAATAATAATAAATAAAATTTATATATATATAGTTATATATTTATAGTTATATAATTTATAAAATTAAAAATTATATTTTATATATAGAAAACTTGAAATATAAATAATAATATACTCTTGAATTTTTTTTTAATAAGGTGATAATGAACATCTACAAAATATTACATTTTTCTATAACATTTAAATAATAAACATGACAAAATAAATTTGCAAAATTGCACAAAAATAAACACAAATTTGCAAGAAAAATCTTGAACAACATGTAAGCTATGATATTTTAATAAAAACAACACAAAAGAGATGGCACATGAATAATTTTGAATATGCAAATGAAAATGAAATATAAAACATATAATTAAAATGTATATAAAAAAACAGTGTTTCCATATATATAAAATATTAAAAATAGAAAGCAAATAATATATTACAGCACACAAACAATGTAAAATGCATTAATAATAATGTGTTTTATTAATGGATTTTTAATTTAATATAAATATATATTCATAATAATTTAAAAAATGAAATTAAAATGACAAAAAAAAATTTAATTTGTTGTATTGTCATAACATAAATGTAAAAAAAAATCTATTTATTTACTTTTAAAAATGATATAATAATATAACTATTAATCTGAACTAAAATTGATATAATAATATAATGATATAATAATAACTGTTAATCATAATAACATTTCTAAAAACCTTCTTATTTATATTTAAATTTTATATTTAATAGTTACCATTAGATGTATCATTAGCAGGTAGTATTTACTTCTATTTTTCTGTCAATAATAAATCAAGATAATTCAATTCTGCATATTTTCTAATTAATATATAACTATCATAAAGTTGCAAAATATAATACCTTCATTATTTGTTTTATGAATAATGATATATAAATTAATTTATATAAAATCAGAATTCTATTATACATATTATTGATATTAATTACAAACTAAAATATATTAACAATTTGTAAAATTTAATTTATGAAATTCTTTACTTATCTATGAGAATCAATCATTTAACATTATTGGTGCACCCAGTATGTTACTTTTCTTTTGTAAATGAAAATGATTAGAATATAAATAACTCAAAAGGTGAAAAAGCAAAAAAATGGAAATCACCATTAGCGTGTTTGATTTGCCAACCTGCAGCGGCGAGCTGGGCCGTCACATCATCATCCATGGCAGCAGTCATAAGATCACCTTCCTCATATGTTTCAGATCCACTACTTGGCTCTTCATCATCATCATCTGAGATTCTGTCCATTGTGCCAGACTCTGCACTGGGCAGAGAAACCATCTTCTTGTCTTCGTCACCCGTTTTGTCTTCAATTATATTGCAATGCCCCGTAGAAACAAATGCCAATCTTTAATTTTTGATTTTTCTTCTACATCACCTTCTCCTAAATTGAAAAAAGCAAGTTTATATGAAAAATGAAAGATATAAAATAATAAATAATAAATTCGTTCTTGTAAATAACATAAATAATATAACATTTTATTTTATTTTATAAAACAAAATTGTTTTAAATGAACTTTATATATCATATAGTCTGAATTTAATTTAACATAAAAAAATTATTTATGTTTTTTATTTATATTATTTATTATATATGAGAAACTATTTATGTTATTTATAAGAAAAAATTTTAATGTAAAAATAAAAATAAAATATTTTATTAAATTATTAAATTATTAATAAATATTTAGGATATATTTAAAATATTCACACATAATAAGACATAATATATAAAACAATTATATATAAATATAAATTTTATAATAAAACAGAAAAGAAAGATTGATATTAAATTTTTTAAAAGAAATCAAATTAATAATAGCAATATTTGATAAATAGAATATACATAGAAAAAAAACATGAATGCTATTTTATATATATGAACTATAAAGAACTGAAGTATTATAATCTCATTATGTATAAATACTAAATATTCTTTTGTGTAATCATTTTTATAGGGTAAATTATGATATGAAACATACTGCATGATAAAGATAAAGTAGAGTAGATAAGAATCCAGAATGATGATACTATATATAGGTTGAATTTTAAAAACATAAACAACGAGTTTCAGATGAAAGCATTTCCCGCGCATAAATTTGGGATTCCCACGCATGACGAAATGCAAGATATTCGCGATAGGAAAAATAATTTCGAAAATGAAAATGAAAAACACGGAAAGTCGTAACATGAACGTCGTCGTCGTCGCCGTGATCTGTGCATGAACACGAGATATTCGTGAAGCGTGATTGAAGCGTAGTGACCCAGTATTAAACTCGGCATGACAGCGAGTAAGAGATATTTGTAAGATGAATTTGACAGGCGACAGGTGACAGACGACAGACGGCGGACGGCCAGTTAAGAAGGCTGGTAAGAGCGTGGCTTGGCAAAGCGTGACGAGATGAGAACAGAGAGAGAAGATGCGCCAAGCCGCGCACACGGCGCGTTTATTTGGTGATACTTGGGGGGGCAATGAAAATGCGCAGGGCACACGCAAAAGAGACCACCTCCGGGGCCGCAAAGCTCATGACCGCGGTACCGCGGAGCCATGGAGCAGGCCCAGTGAAAATCGCGAGTTGCGTACGCACCTTGTGTGTCCCGTGAGTGGTCACCCGATCAGGGAGGGCTCAGGGTTTCGCGTCTGCGGGGAGGCCGCCGTCGGCTACGCTCTCTCACCACGCCCTACGCTCGCGTCTCGCGGTCATCTCGCCACCCGTGTCAAACGCTCACCCGCACAGCACCACCACCGTGAGGCTAGCACGCGACCTTCTATCTCACCGCTCGTAACTCGCGTGTACGTCGCGCCACGCCACAACACGCACAACAGCCGCCATAGACACCATGGCCAGTTTCGCCAGCAGGCGTATCGATCGGCTACGCGGCTCTCCATCTCCACCACAACAAACGCGGCAGCGAGGCGGCCATTTTGAGCGAGCCTGCGCGGTGCACTCCAAGCAGACGATGCGAAATTGCCCTTATTTTGCGAATGCGCAACATCCGCGCATCGCCCGGGCCCTCAACGATCACTTACGTGCTAATAACGCACCGATATCTCTTCGGCACTCACCGATTTCCCGTGAAAATCTGCAAATAGATACCAGCGACCACGGAAACACGAACACCATATACATGTATACGAGTCTGGAATAACGTGATTGGATAGTGCTTCTGGGGTACGCGTTATGGCGTCTATCTGATGTACGTTCTTATTGGATCCTGAAACACGTGACTCTTGTTCTCAGCGTCCCTGGAGTGATGTTGCTGAGTTTCAGTCTAACCTAAACTTGTATACCTGAAACAGGTAGAAGCAATCGTTCCTTCACGTTGTTTTGACGTTTTCTATTCGAACGACTGCAGAATTTGGTATGCAATTTTTTTGTATCATATAAATTTGAATAGCAGTATTTTTTTTTATTAGTAATATTTGTATCTTTTATTATTTTCTCAAAAAGAGAAATTATTATAAATAATCGAAATTTAAAAATTTAAATGTCAAAATAATTTAAAGTAAAATATAATTTTATGAAATCAACATAAAAGAATATTAATTATAAGAGAGAAAATATATTTTGTATATATATTCTTTACAATCATTACATAAATCTAACAATATAAAAGTATATTATTTAAAAATAATATTTAATAGTATAAAATGTCGTAAAGCAGCTTTACATATCACATCTGGGGTAGGGTAAATTACTAACTAAATATTAGTTTAGTGGTATTAACCAATTGGATTTTAAAATTATTGCTATTTAATTTATAAAACAATCATATCATAAAATTAGTTATCCATCCTTTTTTGAAGTATCTAATATCATTTTAAAAAATATAATATAATATAAAAGTTATTAAATTAAATGCGAGAAAATGTCTTAAATTTATGAATGAATATCATGTAAATAAAATTCAAAATTATAAGATATGAAATAAAAAATTTTTATGTTAATCCAATTGATTATAAATAATACCATCAGTGGAAAATTGCTTCTAATTTTAAGCCCATGGCTTATTTTTATTGCACAACTTTCCAAACCAACCAGGTTCACAAAGACATGTATTATCAGGTTGACAAGTTCCATTTCTGCATGCTCTTGTGCACGCTGAACGTTGTGGAGATCGTCTACCAATTTCACAATGATCACCTTTAAAACCAGCAGGACATCTACATACATTATTCCCTTTGCATTTTCCTCCATTTAAACAGGGTATTACACATTTTGCTAAAAAAAAAAATATATATATATTCAATATAAACAGTATTTAAATTGTTTATTATTATTTTTACTTACAAAATTCACAATGTAATCCAAAATAACCTTTTGGACATTCACAAGTATCTTTCTGTACACATTTCCCTCCATTTAAACATTTTTCTGCACATATACCTAAAATTAATGCTTTAATTAAAAAAAAAACATATATATCAAAAATATTTTAAATTTTATAGAAAAAATGCTGCATCTTAGACAATATGGGATTCGATTGGCTAGCACATCAGCAATTTCAGGAACAACTAAATCAGGAAAATTATTAGATTCAATTATAAGAGTAGATCATGCTGGAGAATTAGGAGCAGATAGAATATATGCTGGACAAATGGCTGTTTTAGGTATAAATATATTATAAATATATCAAAATATTATTTTTTTTTTGGAAATAAATTTAAGTTCAATGTAGATACATAAGATAGGTAGGACTTCTGTTGGCCCAACTATTCAACATATGTGGGATCAAGAAAAAAAACATCGTGCGAAATTTGAAGAATTAATTACAAAATATCGTGTAAGACCCACTGTTTTAATACCTATTTGGAATGTTGCTGGATTTATTCTTGGTGCTGGTACAGCACTTATGGGAGAAAAAGCAGCTATGGCTTGCACTGTAGCTGTTGAAACAGTAATTACAGAGCATTATAATGATCAATTGCGTGCATTAGTAGAAAATGAAGAAAAAGTAGATGAAGAAATTTTAGAAACAATTAAAAAATTCCGTGATGAAGAACAAGAACATCATGATACAGGTATAGAACATGGTGCAGAACAAGCCCCATTTTATCAAGCTTTAACAAATATTATTAAATTTGGCTGTAAAACTGCTATATCAATATCTAAAGTTATATAATATTATTATAGTATAAAAATGTTACATTAACAGTTATAAAAAATTAGTTAAAAAATTTTAATGGAATAAAATAATATCTACTTTATATATATATATATATATATTTTATTTTAATTTCAAAGTACCTCCTTCACAGTATGGTCCTTGAAATCCTGGTGGACATGAACAAACACCAGGTGCTGTACAATTTCCACCATTCATACAGTTTGGATAACACAATGCCTTCTTACAATGAGGTGGGCCTAAATATCCATCTGGACAAGGTCCAGGATTAGGTTCTGCAATAAAAAATATTGCATATAGAAAAGATTTATTTTCATGATATTAATATTAAGTAGAAAATTTGAATAGAATATGTGTGATTTTAAATGTATTTTTTAATAAAATTATATCCATGCATGATATTCTCAAATGAAATTAATTTAAATATTTTTGAATATACCAAGCAAGTACTGCATGCATAAATTCTATTTTATTTTCGACTTTGGTAAAAATTAGAAACAAACATCATTTATTGTTATATCAAAAAAAAACACAAAAAGTATTGAGTTATTATTATCACACAAATTTAAGCAGATAAGCATAATTACATTTCAACCAACATTTATGTAGTGCTTAGTAGTAGATTTAAGATAGATTTTTATGAACAAAAATTTCATGAATATCATAGAAGCAAAACAGAATTTTATTTTTATTTTTATAGTTTTATTTACAATTGACTAAATTAATTATCAAGTAAATTATAATAATAATCATTACATCTATGAGATAAAACTATATATAGAGAATCTATTTGCTTGTTTAAAAATATTATTTAATTAAATACGGTTTAAAAAATATATATAGACAAAATTTCTCATAAAATATTTTTTTATATTAAGTTAATATATAAAAGTACGTTTTTTATTTAAATAGAAAAATAATTGAAATTTTCGTTAATTCAAAGTATGTACCTAATCTTTCTTATAACGTTTTTTTTTTCCTATTTTTATACAAATAAAAATTTTCACAGGACTAATTTTGATTTCGATTGTTTCTGATTGAAGTATGTAGCATATTAGGCGATTAATTATTGCTGATAAAGAATTGTCTGTGTGAGTGAGAAATTTTCGTTCGTGGGCGCGATTGATGCACTCACCACGCACGGTGCATTCTTTTCTCAGGTTAAGACGAAGGGGTGTCCCATTTAAAGGTTTCCCCTTACGTGTCTCAATCATCAGACCGATGCCCAATTGCGCAATGCCCGAATTATTACCGGAACAGGGTAATAAGACGCTAAATTCTGTGATAATGAATTATGTATGTGTTAAATTTATGAATTTTTTGTTAATCGATAAAATTCATTAATTAATTAAAATGATTAAATTAATAAATAAAACATAAATTACCCTTAGGTCTTTTAGGTACTCTTCCTTGCGTTTTGATTGTAATATATGGAGTTTTCAGAATTGTTTCGTCGAAAGATTTTAATCGATAAAAATTATAATAATATTTTTTTACACCGGATTTCCATGTAAAATTCACGTATGTTACTTCGCTCGGAATAATCGGAAGTTTACTTTCGAATTCTGGATCCAATAGATAAGGTAAGACTCTACCTTCCGTAATTGCAAATATTTCCATTTCAACTCCTAAATGAAACAGAAAAAAAAAATCGATCATAATTTTATTATGATTTATCCATTGAAAAGTATGATAAAAATAAAAGTATATATGAATTTATTATTATTATTATTTTATTATTAAAATTAATACATTAAATTTATTTATATATTAGACATAAAAACTAATGAATTTAATATGAAATATAAAAGTAACATAAAAAGATTTTAAAAAATAAAACTTTTTATCAAAAAATCAGATTAAAAAATTAATTTTTTTTATTAAAAAATCATAAAAATTAATATTATAATAGTAATAAAAAAAGTGATATTAAATGGTACTTCTATTTATATTTCATATTAGAATCTATATTACATAGATTATAAATTTTATTAGATTATATTAAATAGAATATAAAATAAATTCTTTAAAAAAAATATACAAGAGTTTTAAATACTTAAGATTAAAAATTAAATAGAACCTGATATAAAGAAAAAGAAAAAAGATGAAAACGAAAAAAAGAATACTGAATACAAGTGGATATCCGTGGAATGATAGCACCAGTATACATATAACAACTTACCGCTGAACATTTTGATTTGTTGCTGATCGATCCAGAGAGAAATGTCACCGGTTGGTTTGTGACCATTGCCAGAACGATGGTGATGCCTTGCGGCCGCCGTGTCCAGAAGCAGAGCGATAGCCGCCGAGGCCAGGGCGGCTGCGGCCCACTGCATAATTAACGACGTGCCGCCAGGTGTTGCACAGTTTATGACTAGCCCCCTTGTGGCTACGTAAATCTATCTCTCTCTATAGTTCTGTTCCACTTGTTTGTGTGTGAGTACCACTTGTGATTCGATGTGTGCAGGTCGATGGAACACGCCACAATTTGATGCGTGAAATTCAGGATTTCACGGCGAGACTTGAGATGAACAGGCACGTTCTCACGCACGCAATCTAATGAGCTGACACAACCAGAGACCAATATGAAGTTTCAGTGGGGATCAACTTTCGCGATCGAGAAAATGACTGACCGGTTGACCGACGACCAATTTCGCCGATGCTTTCTGACTCTGTCGATAATGCAACCATACGATCATGCAATGTTAAGACAACGTATTCACAATGTCAAGACGCGTATTCACACGTGCGTACGGACCGCGTCTCTGCGGCAAACTGACTGACTGACTGACTGACTCAATGAGAAAAGGTCTACAGCAGCCCGTGTTCTTGCCGAGACCGCGAGCAAGATCTCTATCTCTTAAGGAGTCTCGATATATTTGGGGATAAGGGTGCGTGCACAACGATTTGCAGACAATATTGACTGTTTGAAAGTTGATCGTTAATGATAATATGATTTCCATTTTTTTTTAATTTTTGCTGTAATTTATATATTTGGCAAAATTTGAAATATTTTAAAAATTATTATTATTATAAAATCCAAATATTTATATAAAACATTTTGATAATATAGATTTTGTTTATTTGAATGAGATAAAAATTATATGATTTAAAAAAAAATTAAAATATAATAATTCTCCAAAAATCGAAGTTGTAAATTTAAATATACATTCATTCAAACATTTGATCATAATTGCGAGTAATCGATTTTAGGAATGCTTACGATATATGTGATTGGCAAATGATCACCATCGATCAATCGATTATTAAAGATAAAAAGAATCCATTTAGATTCAATTATCTACATAAGAGCATCTCTAAGTTTATGAATGATTTTATTAAAGACAAACATATTTTTTCAGAAAATGAATATCTGCTATATATCTGGTAAATCAAAGACAGTCCATCGACATATTTTACAGTCTACCAACCTATACCAATCTTCTTGGGACTTGAATATCGTCTACACGGATATATGGAAATCAGAATTCGGATTAGCAAATAAGGTGAAAAGAAATGGGTGGAAGGAACCAGTTTTTAAACGTCTTTGGCCGGGTTCCTCTTCTTCGTTTCTTCTTCCATTCTCTTTCGTACTTGTCTTCTCTTCTATTCCCCTCCTCGTCTTTTCTCAGTCTGTCTTTGCAATTGGTAAAGAGAATTTACTGCAGTTTGGACTTTGTTCCCAGGCTTGACACTAAGCCTACTATTAACTTATCAGTATCTTTCAATTTGTTTTAAATTTTTTGAATAATCCGCGAAGTGATAGAAATTTATTGAATTTGAATGATACAATAAATTCTTGAAATATAATTATTGATCATGAATGATATTATATCAACTGCAGGAAAATCTTGTCTACATCTTATAATCGTGTAAAATTTAAAAATTATTAAAAATTAGATATAAATTTTAAGATATTTTTATTCTTTTTACTCATTATAATTTTTAATATATAAAATTTTTAATATACAGTCTGAAAGAACAACGAATTTTAAGATATTTCATCGTTTTCTTGGTGGAACCCTTCTTAGTACAGTATCCTTCCATCGAATGTTCGACCACATTTCCATGGTCGTTTTGCAATCCGTTACAAAGGCCGGCTTGTTAGATGCCGTGGTATATACGACATGCACGATTTTACACTCTGGCGCTTGTGGTCGGTCAGGCCGCAAACATTTTTCGCGCCTCACAGAGAGAAGCAACTCTTCGCGACACGATTGATCATCTTCTGAAGAACACACCAAATCATATAGAAAAACTTTCTACAAACAGGTGCAGATGAAGAAAGCTATAAGACACTTTCAATATATGCTGGATATCTTGCAATGGATTATTGTACGATTCAAAAGAATATATTGAAAAATTTTTTAGGTAAATCAATCGTTGAATCTATATTTTATCTTATTAAAAAATCAATATATTTAATAATGAATATTAATTCTATATATAATATAAAAAAAATGAGAAATATTTTTAATGTGTCTTATAATCTAGTTTTCATGAAAGTATATATGTTTATCTATTTTTAAGTAAATTTAATAAATAATATTTAAATCTTTTTATAAAAATTTTTTATAAAAAAAATATTTTTATCTTTTTATGCAATACTTTCTTTTCTATAAAACTTTTTTTATAAAATACACACACACACATATATATATATATATATATATATGAAAATATCAAATCTTCTATAGCATTTATTTAATTCATAATCATATTTCTTTTTGTTTTTCTATTTAATTAATGGGATTGTTTGATTGAAATTATTAAAAATTATGAAAATTTTGTTAATACTTAGAAAAAAATAATTTATCTTCACTAAATGACAAATAATAATCAAGTTTATTTACTATTCTATAGCAATCGAGATATACGATCTATGTATAATCGAAATCAATGCAAAAATAGAAAAGAAGCGCATAATAATGGAATTCTTATCGACTGCATTACTATTTCCGAAACTTCGAATGAAAGCTTAGATGAATAATACATGATACACATTGTCATAGACCGAATTGTCTTCGATGAAATCACCTTGTAATTTAAGATTGCAATTATAACATAATATTGAATTTACTATTTTGA